TAGCATCAGAGTTAATTATTTGGTTTAGTCATTTACTGATTGTGAACGGGAGAATGTAGAAGCAGAGATTGTTAACGATATCCTGATGATGTTCCACCGGAAGCACCGAGATCGTGCTTGCCGTCAAATAAGGAATGTTGTCGATCATGTCGTGATCCAGAAATGGCAAGAGACACGCGAGGCATTGCAGCAGCGCCTGGCCGAATGCTAAAAAATGAATTCTTATTACGAAGTATAAAGAACATGCAATGCGATAAGAAAGTGAAATGAGTAAATCACAGTTTAAAAAAAATACATATAAAAAGTATTCAAAAGTTGGATAGATCTTTCAATGTTTAAACAATGAAAATGTAAAAGACATTTTTTAAATTGACACCATAAATATTTTATTTCGCATACGACTCTGCAGTATAGAAATAAGAATAAGCTGAATGTAAGTAGAACAGGGAACAGTAGATATGGGTCATACCCTGCAGACCGATGTGAATGGCGGGGATTACGTCGATCAGCTGAGTGAGGGCGTTGTACAGTTGTTTGTAGTCCAAGTTCGGGTAAAGAGCCATGCGTTCCGCGTCGCACTTCTCCGATTTCACCATCTCCAGAGGAGCCTCGCGGACCTCCTTCAGTAACGCTGATAACCCGACAAGCAACGATTTTAATAATACACTTAAAAACGAACATCGCATCGTATGCTTACACAGCAGCATTTGGGAACAGAATTTCACTGTGTTTGCCATGTCCAAACCCGAGGGAATCGGTTGATTCCCATGCAGGAGTCTTAGATAATAGTCGTGGAGGCTGGTCAACTTCAGTGCAACTGTAATAAAACGATTCGTTGAAACGGAGTGCTTCTGGTCGAATCAGTTCGTTTTTCATGCTTACAAGCTGCGAATCTAGTCCCCATGTTGTGTAATTCTTGCAGACACGATTAAGTTTCAAATTTATAATGAAGATTAACGATAAATGAAACAGTAGCAATTGTACGTTACACTGTCATTAATCATTCGCACTTTTTCCATTTACGTAACGAGTAGGTTTCGATTACTGTCGATGTTGTGACGCGACAGAAAACGCGAGACTTTTCTCCGTGACATATTTCGCAACCGCAGAATCAGCACGGGTCCAACCCGGCGGAATTGTTGTCGAAGAGTGAGCGCGCATGCTGTATCGATCTGTTTTCGAACGCCGCGCCCTCTTATCCTTTCATCCCCTTCTGCAGGGTGAGTCTAGAAAATCCAAGCGGGACAACCCAATTCCGTGAAATTTTCCCAATACGGTGTTTCCCTCGACGAGTATGAAAAAGTCCTACAATCGGAATGTGCAAATTTCATCCCCAAGAAAGGGGGTTTTCCCTTCAATCTAATCAAGCCATTACTGCGTCTTGTATTTTATTACAAAGAGTGAGTCAGCAAGAAATGTCATTCGAAATTATCGATAAATAATTAATTTTATTATAAATAAATAGAATTTGTCAAAGAATATATTTACTTAATAATTTCCAGTGTACAATAAATTAACGTAGATGTTTTAATTTATTGTATTGCATATTCACGATGTATAAAATGAAAGATGTAGAATAATGATATGAAACAATTGAATACATTTTGTGAAAATTTTTTATTCTATTCGAGACCGAGTATCGAAAGTCTGAAAGCCTCCCTTGACCCTGTGCCGTCGTAAATGAAATATCTCCTACTACACATTTATGTTGCTATAGACATAGAGAATGAAATAATTAAAAAGCGATGAGATGAGGTAGCCTATTCTATCATCTGTAATTAATAAACAGAAGGGAAAACCAAAGTCAGAATGAACAGTAGAGGCAAGAGCCATAAGTGACTCGCGAGCCGCCAGTTCGTCATCCCAATTCTAATAAATCGTGTCAAGCATTTATAATTGGATTGCGTTAAATGTCAATTCATATTTACTTACTCTATTTACTTATTATACTTGTCACGAAGTTAAAAATAGGGCGACGATATGTTCAGGAAATTCAGACCGTTTTAACCAGACAACGAAATCGGATCCATGCAACCAATGCCCGTTAAACAAGAGTTATATCATCGACGCAATGACGGAAAGCCGTTCCAAGACGCGTTACGTAAAGATCTTCCTTCATGATTACGTAAACATGATAGCATGAGGTTTGACAATTATTCCATAATATCATTAAGTCCAATCCAATAAACAGCAATTATGTTTTTTAAGCGATCGCCGAGGAATTTATTGCATTACAGCCGATTAACGGAAACTGTGGATTCCTGACCAAAACGAAACTTCCTATTACATAAAATGATATTTGCATAGAAACTTTTGATAGATGATCGAAAAAATTTTTGAATAGATTCTATTTAAAATAAAAATCTAAATACTTTTATCAAAAATTTCTAATTTTTAATAAGAATAGATAGAGAAATGTTCGTAAACCTAAAAGCTTTAGTTTCGCATAGAATTTGTTTATATATATTTTTTAATATTTAGGATGAGTCAATGAAAATAATTGACTCTATTCCAAAGGCTGCCAGAAATGCATTATGATCTATCAAAGAGCAAAGATACTTTCTTTAATCTCCATCGATCAATAAATTGATACACAGTACGTTTTAATGAAAAACTTATTGCGTATACTTCTTGACTCACATTTATCATTATATCTCTTCTGGAATGAAGACAAAGATTGTCATTCCTTTGCAATACGAGGTAATAAAAATTCTAATCTTCGCGATTGGTGAAAAGCCTCTTTCTACGAGGAACAATAGATGCGATAATAAGTAGAGTTTAATAAAACATGCGAGGATAGAATCGAAAGATACAGTGATAAGATTTATGGATCTAGTGAAACACGAAAGCGCGTGGATTCGGTGGTTTGTTTCGTGCATCGTGAACCGCGGCGTGTGTAGTTAACTGTGTCACGAAGGGTCGATTTCTAGGTCGTGCCTATGACGTGCACGACCGCTGCGCTGTGTCGGTCGATATCATCTAAATACGATGCACACCTGCGACCGGTGAAGTCATTCTCCGGAATACGTGCACTTTGCGCGCTGGGAAACAGCAGGACGTAATAAGAATTTCTACAGAAAAAGAGATGAAATAATGCCAACTATCTATATTTGTCATCAAGTAAATTGATCGTAATGGTTCAATATTTGTGAAAAATAGAAATAGCATAAGCTTTCTCTCGTTATGTATTAAGGAAGAAATATGAAACACTAGAAATTTCTGTATTAAAAATTATTAAACCTGAATTTTTGCACATATTTTTAAGTGCTATTATTTCTACTTTAATGTATTAAAATAAAAATGTGATAACAAAACCGATACATGTATATTTTAAAACATTTAATCTACAGGTGAGATGTGACGATTAAGAATTAATGAAGTTGACTTAAATATTTAATGAAATCATACAAAATTAATTTATTCGAAGTATGTTAAAAGATTAATCGCGACTGCTATAGAAAGAGCTTTAGAGCGTGTCGCTATAAACGGAACAGCGTCGTGATCAATGTTCCTGGAATATTCCTAAGGGGTGGAACGCAAAGCGTGTGCAAAGAAGATCTAGACTCCAGACTGGACGTATTTCCATCGCTAACATGATTGAACAAAATTCATATCACATCTAAATCATTCTGTTTTAATTTATTAAAAGACTCTAAATTGAAAATGCTTATAAAGTAGTTTCACTTTAATGTCTTGGCTATTTGCTAAAATTCATTGATGCAATATTTTAATAAGCTTTATCCTAAAAGCAATTAGTCATGATTTATCATGCGATTGTTTATATCAATTATTGTACGGTTGGTTTGTATACTATGATACAACCGTTGCTTGTTCATAATAATACCCAAGGGTGATGCGATACAGGCGGGTAGACGCTTTTGCTTTATAAAAATTCTTGAAACGTCCTGAAGGGCTGAAAGGTATAAGGGGAAATGTGGAGGATTGCTTCTTTATGATAAGAGAGGGTGCGAATTGCGGACGGCTCGCTTTCCGAAGCCAGGTAACCGGATCGATTTCTCTATCCCGCGTGTGTGAGAATGGTTGCAACAGTGACGCAGACGTGTGGCCGCACGAAGTCGCGTGCTCTCGCTTCGGGAAAATCGCGTGAAACGAACAAAGCAAACCATGTAGAAAAAGACTATAAAAAAAATAGCTCGATAAGAATAGAAAGTAATCGACGGAAAAAGGATAAAATAATACAAGATAGAATTGATGAAAAAAGAGTGCAACATTGTAAAGTAAATGTAAAGGAATTAAAAAATAAATGTACAAATACAAGATAATAAAAATGAGAAACGCAGGAACGGTCGGGAGGGAAAGAGTTCAAAGATTGAGATGTATCAAACGCGAGCCAAATATCAGAAACGGAAGATACTAGCGCATCGCGAGGGGCGAGAGAGGGTTGAAGCTCGATAAGCAGAGGGAAGAGGACGAGTGAGAGAAGGGGGCGAGAGAGGGTAGGATGGATATGGAGGAAAGCCGGGTTGCCTAGGACACCACATGGACACCACGCTCGCTTGCGACGTCACTACTATGCGACGGGGGTGAAAGCCGCGCGCGACCACCCTAGAGCCGACTTATGAAACAGTGCTCGCGGGACAGGCCACGTCGAAAGTCGTGCGGCGAACCGCGCTTCCAGACGATTCGAGTTACACACGCGAGAAAGGTACGACCAAAAAAAGAAAGCAACTGCGTGCAGACTTTTTTAGAAACAGTGGTGATGTAACGTGGTGCAATTTAAAATAGACAATCAGGTC